TGCTGAAAACCAGACTTAGGTAAATTGTTCCCAAACAGTATGAATTGGATCCATTCTGAATTGGCACCACCAGAAGTTATTTTAGAGCTGCATAAATATTACATGCTGTGACAGTTCATGCTTTGCTGAAGAAAATACACTGTAGAAAACCATAATTCAATACACAAACAGAAATTCAGTACTGGAGTATTTGATTAATAAGCACTAATTTTGAACAAGTTCATTTTTATGTAGACTTCACAGCAAAACGATGAAAATCGTACAACTGAAACGCTGAGTATCACAAACACTAGACTAGCTCTAGTGAACAAAACCATCCTCAGAAATAGATGGTGTTTTCAGCTGTTAGAACAGCTGAAATTTACACCTTCCATGAGACAAAGCTAAAAACCAGAAGCAGTACCAGGCATATCATGTTCACATATTGCATTGCATAAGCCAATTTCTCCTTATTAATACAACTCTATTACTAATACTATTGGAAAAGTGTATCAGATCATGCCAGGTTTGTCAGAATGGTTATTTACAAAATGTCAACAGGCCATATGTATTTCTGAAGCCCAGCACAAGCTGCTGCTTTTACTAAAGCTCTCTTTCACAACTTGAATGTCAGTTTCAAAACAAAATATTAAGAATAGTTGACATGCAACTACATTTTATAGATTGTATGATCACAGCAACAAAACCATTATACCATCAAATGAACCAAGGACCTCACTCGGCTCTAGTGGTATCAAATCCAGGTAAGCCAGAGTGAGGACAGAGATAAAGCAAATAGAACAAAATTAGGATTGGGATTTCACTGACTCCTCCATCCCCTAAAGGATAAAACCTAATAATGTATTTTATCCATGTGCTGGCAAATGGTCTGAAAGCATGTCAACCTATTCCACCACAGGATTTCCCCCCACCCCCCTTGAGTTTTCCTACAAGAACATGAGAGCACTCTTTGTTTTTGGTAGTTTAAAGTTTTTCTGATGATATGCTCAAGTGGAAAGAAGTAGTGCATTACTCCCCTGGGCACAGTAAGGTGACCATATAAAAAAAAACTCTTGCCCATGTAACTCATCTGTACAAGTAATTTGACATATAACACATTCATCATCTTTCTTGTGTATTTTTTTCCATAAAGCTACCAAATGGAATGATGATTCAATTTGAGTTAAATAATAACATCTCCATGCATCTCCTCAAGCTTATTTGAGCTATGTGTCCTCTTAATGAACAGCATTTGCTTTTACACCAAATGAAACCAAACTTATTTCTTTTACATTAAAAAAAGGACTGGATATGCCAGGCAGAAACAAGCTACTGATTTAATCTTTTTTTTTAAATTTTTTTTTAATAGTTTAAGCTTCATCATAAAAAAAAAAAAGCCCAAGGGCAGCATTTGTGTTAAGTCAATGAGTTGGTGAGAGAATCCCAACTACATGCATTTACCAATCAGGTGTTGGAATAGCAACCATCAAATGTGAACAAAAAGACTGAAGTTGCTGCTGAGGCAGACAAAACTCAAAAAGAATTCTTACATGCTTTTAGAAAACTTAAAATAAAAAAAAGGATTTATTTGGTACAGAAATGCTAATTAGATTCACAGTTGCCAAAAGAAGTCAAAGCTTGGCAACCATCTATTAAATAGACAGGCTGTATCCAGAACACAGAGGAGAACTTTTTTAATTATAAGTGTTTCTTTCAGAACTAACAATCACATTTGAATTGCACCAATAAATGGGGTTTTCTTCTCTGTTGACTAGATAGAAAGTTAGGAAAGAATATAAAAAGGCATTAAGAAATCCATTTGTAGGTACAAAAATAGCTTTTGCATTTTATAAAGCGAAGTTAATCATGCAGACTGATAGAAAAAAGAGACACAATTAGGCAATAAACCTTTAAAGACACCTCTACATGCGTTCATGTCACCCAATTTCTAAAAGATTCTGATCATGCTTTCCTATCTTCCTTTTTTGGTGGTGCCTACTCTTGTTGCTTCTCCATACTGTATTTCATTAGCTAGGACTAAGGAAATAGAAGAAAGGAGTACCAGAGGATTATTCGGCTTTATCAAAAAACACACAGCTCTTCTACAGAGGCCAGTACTAGAATACTACTTGTTTGCCACCTCTTGTATGGATGGGAACCAGTTAACAGCATTAGCAGTTGTACATCACATCTCATGTTCCAGTCAGAAAAATTGTCATTAAGGTCCCAATCCTGAAGAGTTTTCTGAAGGCATTCTGGAATTCAGAGCTGCTTAGGCTGCAGCCCATAGAGAAAAATTGTACGTCTGCATTCCTGAAATGGCACTAAGATTTAATATGTTGTTACAAAGAGCCTCTCTGATATAATTTGTTTACATATAAACTTGAGTGAATGTAAACACGCAATTTTAGAGAAATATTGCTACCAGTTTTGCAGGTGGAGAAAAAGCTGAAGCAAGAAATCTACTGCCGCACACTCCCCCTCTAACTGACACAGCATTCAGCACCATGGCAAATGTTTTCTGACTTGTACATAAATTAAAAAGCAATTCTGAAGTCTTTAATTACCATCTTTTGCAACACTGCAAAGTCTTTCTTCATGTCTCAATTTCACTTTTCACATCGTAAAAGGGACTGCAATACTTGGCTTCCACTAAGTACTGCAGAAGTAGGGGAGACCCCTGCACTGCACACAGATTATTTCAGTATCCTTATCAAACCATAACTCTTAGCACAGACTTCTCAACCTCCCGTGCATCACTACTGATGAAGTGAAGGCAAACTACCTTGCCTTCACTTGGTCACAAATGCAGAATTCCTGACTGTGGGTAGGAAGACTGATTAACATCAAATTTACATTTAGTTAGGCTTTTACAACTGGACTGAAATATAGTTTCAAACGGCTCAAGAACTCCTCCGTCCACAAGTATCACTGACCATTAACCAAATGCTAAAGAGGGGAATCACAGTATAAGCCACCTTCCTCCTAATACAAGCAAGGAAGTACTACCTAGGTTTTCCTAT